TTGTTTTAAATATTTAAATATAAACTATGAAAGTAAATACACGTAGATTAGATCAATAAAAATGGACATATTAGGCCTAGTAGTAATCTTTATCTATTCATTAACACGAATAACATTTTCAATATTCTAATCAATTTTTATATAGCCGGAGATAGTTTCGACCTAGGCAAACCTTTGCTAAAAAAGTACACTTTCTCCATCAAAAGGCTTCTATGAATGGAATGACCTGTTCGAAGCACGAACTCCTGTAGACCAAACCCAGTACCGTTACGATGTTTAATCGTACGGGAAATCCACTCACGATTCGGTACCGTTACGATTTTTAATCGTATGGGAAATCCACTCACGAAATATTTTCTAATTTTATTATATTACCACCTTTTTATTACATAGATCTTTTTCAAAACATAAATGCTTTTATAACATTATATAGACCCATTAAACACAAAAACTGCTCTGGCTTCGGGGACTTCGTCCCCGACCCCACCGGGGCCCTTAGGCAGGCCCCGGGACCCCACGCCCAGAGAACCCCTCCTTGAAATGACCTGGCTACGGGCCTGGTTATTGGCCTATATTTCTTTCACGAATTTTGAGGGAGTTAATTTTGCTTGTTATAAATAACGCTTGTTAAGCATTCATATTTCCTCAATGCATTTTAACAACCGAAGCAGACAAGAGTTACCGTAATTGAGATACTGTATTTTTCACCTCTTGATGTAAACATTAATTAATATTCTTCACTTCTCTTGATGCAGCAGTATCAATAGGCCTCAGTACTGGTATACTATTACGGTATATGCTTCAGACACAAGCCTTAGACATGGAGTTAATTATTAACTCCGTGTTAATTATAGACAGGCCTAATTATAACTCCGTGCCTCAGACTCGTATTTCTTGTGTCTAGGAGGCTAGAATCAATTTCAATTCACGAAGTAATTTTGGTTCATGTACAAGCCGTCCACATTAAACACGCGTCAAAATCATACTTATGATCTTGTCATCGTTTCTGATACAAACCTGTCCAGAGTTGCTTATACTAATGAAGATTTAGGCCCACCGGCACTATTGAGACACAAAAAATAGTCGTCATTAAAATATCATTTAATGCTGCATATCATGTTGTTATTGAGCACAACGAATTTAATGTTATCAAAACAAAAATGGGACAATCCAGACAGCGGCTAAATCGCAGAATTAACAGAACAGCTAGCTGAGTATGTTTTTTTTTTCCGACACAATATCCATTTACTCCCGGTTCTGTTTTATCATCTTAGCTTTGTGTGTTTATAGTTGAATCCTTAGAGATACCCGATAAATTTAACACAACATGGTGGTGTTATGATGTAAACACATGGTTGTCCAGGTCAGATGGACGTAGTTAAACGCCAAAAGCAAACAGCGGTTAAATACGGCTGTAATTTCTCGGCTTATTCCATTAACTAAAACAAGTGTATAGTTGAACTAAATACTAGCAAAACCCGTATATAAAGTTGAAGTAAACAAAATTTAATATTTAGTAACTCTATAGCGGTTCTCTCAAAACATTAATTCTGTACTTAAAGTATACAGTATCCGGAAACACGTTTGTGATGAGTTGCAGCCCCAGCAGGTATCATAATAAATTTGCACAATTATACGCGCGTTAAGATATCGACTTCAATTTATAAAAGGATCTATTGAGCAGAGAACAACCTAATTTTGAGTAGCAGTGGTAAATTACGTCACCAAATTCTTCTACTTATAATGACGTTTTCCAAGTATAGATCCAAATAAAATACTTCCATAATGAATTAGAATATTAATCAAACTTTTACTTAATCTTAAAATTAAGACTCATTTAATGTAGTCTTTTTATTTTCATTTTAACACAAAATCGAATTCGATACAGATAAAAGCTTTCGGTTTTGTTTATGTTTATACGGTTTTGTGGCGTGATTGTGACGTACAAATTAAAGAGCAATAAATTCGCTAAAACTTTGGACATCTGGTCTTTAAAGAAATCGGAATGCGGGTGGCTTGAGTCTTTGGCAATAGGCCTATGACCTTAAAAGATGCCAAAAGGATAATGCGGATGATTCAGGTGTACTGTCATGTACCTTTGGCCAACGAGCTGTTGGCAATAAAGTTGCACTGCCCGCCATCTATATTTTAAGCAATCATTATATCATCATGAAACATACATGTTTAAACAAAATCTAGAACTCCAAATCATATAGGGGCATCATGTTACAATATCGTATCTCTTTTCATTTGTATGAAAAAAGCTTTACATTCGTGTAATTTTTATATGATACTGCTTAAATGCAATCAATGAATTTTAGGTGTTACTGTATAATATTTTCGATGAGGTATCGTAGCAATTGAAGTCAATATGTTTAGGTATACTGTTTCACATAATATGGTGGCTATCGTCTGTTTAATACAGTTAGCGCTTACAGACACTACTTTTGCTAAACGAACCCCCGCAGTCAACCCTCCAGAAAATCCAATAAAAGACGAATATATTTATTTATTCTATCATTTAATGGTTCAAAAACTAAAAGAAAGAAAAGTTCATCATAAAAAGGCAATTATTCATACACTACCGTATGTGTAAATAGATTTACTCTTTGAGTTCTATGCTTAGTTATGTCATTTTACGTTTAATGCATATCAAACGTAATAACAACTACTGCAATAATAGAAACACCGTCTGTCAAATCTTGAAACATTAATTAAAACATTATTATGTTCACTTTAAAGATAAAAAAAAAAACAAACAAATCAATTTGTTAATGATTTACAGATCTTAGTCCCCCTGTAATCTATTACGCATCAATTTAAGAGTGGTCTTATTTAGTTGTCTGTCATTGGGTGAGGAAATCACTTTTGGTGTACTGTAAATTTTATGGAGTTTCACACCAAAAAAAATATGAATTTGAGATTTGCATGCAAATCGCATGTGACCATTACCCTTTAAAACAAAACAACCTTTATTAAATTTGTCTCTTCACCCAGGAAAATGCCTATAAATGGTTTCTGGTAGGATCAGTGGTCGCTCCAGAAATTTACCGACAGCGACAATGGTTCTGGGAGTGTTTTTTAGACCAAAATATCAGGGATTGGCCACTCCCAATTGGGGTAAGTTTTTTTTTTTCACACACGCAGATATTATATACTCAACTCAAATTTATTGCAATCACGAATAGATAACAAATGATTAAAGTTTAAAAATACATCATTAGGCCTACCATCTTTTGAAAACCCCCAAAAATTCTTGGGGCTGGAGAGGTCCCCAGACCCACACTCATATTGTTACACCCAAGTATGTGTGCTATATTTAGAAAATGGTAAAATTAAATACAGTATATATAAAAATGATTACATCATCCTTCTATGCCTCTAAATAATAAACATCATAAGCTCCTGAACTGTGATTGTTTGTGAGGCAGGATAGCCACATTGTCATCAATTATTTACAAACCGACGTTGACGTCACATGAGGGCGCTAATTATAGTGTTCAAGAATTAGGATGGTCATCCAAGAGATTACTTATTTGAATACAGGCGATTACTGTGGATCAAGATAATCCATTGACACTATTGCAGAAATTATACAGAACTCAATTTAAGACGGTTTCTTTAATGCTAAATGTCACTGAAAAGTACTCAAGTCGTTTGTATTAAGAGAAGTTTTTATCTGATGAACTATTAATAACAAATGTTAAATATTATGTAGTCTATTGACCTTTAACCTAAATTTTGTATTTTTTTTTCAAAACTTAAATATATACTAGTAAATAAAACTTGATTGAAATCATTGAATAATTAGGGAAACTGCGGACTTATACTAGAACCTTTTTTAATAAAAAAAAAAAAGCTTAATATAAAAAAATACAATCTTAAACAATTTTGTTTGTTATAGTTCCAATTTCATCAATTTCGCATTCAACAACATCACCTCTCTGAAAAACATAAAAAAAAGAAAAAAATTAATTGTCAGGTATTTTTCCTACAATATTTAAATAAATACAGAAGAATTTTTAAAACAAATTACATTAATAGTAGCAATAACTTTAGTAGTAATGTTAGTCAAAAATCTTTTTTTTTACACAAAATTGAATTAAGCCCTAAAACTTTTGTTTATCTTATACAAAAATTTGTTTTTTTTTTCTGTGAGATTTTTTATTGGTATACATCAACAGAGAAGTAATTTAATTTACTTTTTTATGAACAGATGAAAATAGATGAAGAATGTATGAAATAATGGCAATATAAAATTGCAAAACCCTGCAAGATTTATATTCACTCATCCACCCACCCAATCCAAATTGTCATTTATTGAATAATGTCCCTTGGCAATACAAAAAAAATCAAAGATGGCATAGATTCATTACAGAATCCAACCATTCATCTGTCAGATTTTTCAACAGTTATGTGACTAAAAATCAGACCATCTTCCTTTGATATTTTCAAAAGTCAAAAAAAAAATCCCAACCACTTATCTGTCCATTTTCAAAGCAGATGTGTCATTAAAAATTTGACAGCTTTCTGTCCATATTTTCCACCAAAAAAAGAACAAACAATTATCTGTCTGATTTTCCAACAAGTTGTTGTGTTATTAAAAATGCAAATATTTATTTGTCAGATTTTTCATGTAGATAAATTATTCACTAGCTACAAAACACTAGCAGTTCATCCATTTTTTTAAAAATAATTTTCAGAAGATTACAAACATACTCTTTTCTTCTTTTTTTAATACCATGTTTATAGAGGGTGACCTTTCAGGCTTACAGTATCCCAAAAGGTCAGCTGAGAGTCACTTAAACAAATGAAATGACAAACTAAAGCTGGGGACTCACTATGCCCGACGGTTGTCGGCCAATGTGATTATATGATGAACACCACAACGCAAGCGCATAGGGTCCTTTTTTGATGATCTCTTCAGACTGCTACTAACAACCAGCAGAGGGTGTCGAGTCATCTAGCGCTCACAGGAAACGGAGTTGGATTTGTCGGCCGATGGTCTTACCACCATCGTATCATGCAGTGAGTGCCTGGCTAATGTCTCTTCACGAGGCTTAGTGAGTGGAGATGTGTTTCAGTCGTGTGAAAAAATCAATTGGAAGGCAAGCAACTTAACCACTAACATATACATCTCCACTTGTGACCCTAACCCTACACCCCCCACCAAAAAGAAAGAGTACATGATAAAATTATGATTATTGTCATCTTGAGATAATATGTTTTCATTTTCATAAAAAAGTACATTCACTCTTGACTCCCACCTACTAGAATATGCACTGTACTAATAATTACAAAAAAAAACTCCATATTTTGTCATAAAACAATTTCAGTGTTTACTAAAGATCTGACTCACCTTGAGAAATATTGGCTGGGGTTTCTTGAATACACCAACGCCAGGTGGCGTACCTGTCAGAATCAGGTCACCGGGGCTTAGCGTCATAAACCTGGCATACAAGAAAATAAATTTTCAACGGAAGACAGTGTAAGTTCAGAGGACAGCAGGTAAAACAGTGCACTTTTGTTTGAAACCTGTCTAAAGATCTAAGCCTGTTAATATAATGAAAGAAATCTGAGCTTGCCAAAATATCAGGTATTACAGTAATAAATCAGAATAGACAGGGTATGAAAGGCCAATATCAAAGGAATTTTGGTTCGAGTGAAATTATTTCCGAGTTCAACTCCCCAATAATGGTGGGTCGTCGTACATTTGTAGTGAATTCTGCACTTTCACATCCAGAGTGCTACAGAATATAACACTTTGAAAGTACAGTAAGAAGCAAGATCTTGATCAAACTATTGTAATTATTGGCTAGTTTAATGATATGAACCATGAATTAGGACCCCAGGTCAGATAGTTGACATTTACAGTACACTATCATAATATATATGTTTACTGTAAACATGGACCCTATTAATGCCATGGTTTAAAGAATATTCAGTCTTTTACAATATCTAAGAGGCCATCAAAACAGCACCAAACTGCTTATTTCAAAAGGTCAAATAATGTTGACACGCTGGAAATTCTGTTTTCGCTGATTTATTATTGACTGTTTTACAGTCACTAATGAGCGGACAGGTCATTTTTTTTGTACACAAATATCGCGCAACAGAGGGAGAGCGTTTGTAATCTTGGATTATCTTGTTAAGTATTTTTGTGTTTTTAGCAGTATTAAATTACGTTTTTTGTTTGAAAGCCAAATATATATATTTTTGTTCATCTGCCAGTCTCGAGCACTTACATCATGCGCTACAGTGTAACCAAACACACAATCCAGAGCCTCGGATTCCTGAAGAAAAAAAAGGTTAGTTGTTACTACTGAGTTTATGGTTACCTAATAACATATAAGCAAACTAAATATAAATAAAAATTAATAATAATAAATAAAAAAAATACAATAATACTCCTCTTTGGATTTTATTGTATTGGTGTATATCTAATGCTTCATATACATGTTTTTTTTTATATTATATTTATTAGCACATAACTAATTTCAATTAGAGGACTCTAATACAAAACATTCCAATGATTACGAATGAAATGGCTGTATTGATGCATTAAGAAAATGCTGTATGGAACAGAAGTATTTTTGGTGTGAATCGCACGAAGGTTAACCTGGAGACATGTTTCCACTGACATTGTCCTTCTGGTGGTGATTGGGCAGACCCCGGAAGACAAACCCACAACGGGGGGGGGGGGGCGATGCCCTGACAAGGGGTCAGATTTCCCAGAAAAAAACCAAAGTGGGCGTGGTCGAGCTTCGAATAAAAGGTTTTGAAAGTGGTCCAGGGGAAAATCCTCCGAAAATTTTGACAATTTAGAGGTTTCAAAGGCTTATTTAATCGAATTTAGGGTCTACTAATATGTAGAAAATACATATAATTTTTTTTTCTCCCTGATGAATTGTGCTTTTTCTCCCCGACAGGGGGGGGGGGGAGAGCTCACCCTGACGGGGGCTCTGGCACGCCCCCACCGGCACCGCCACCATGCCATCTTAATAAGTGCATTTGAGATTCCATTTTAAGTTTGTTTATTTATAGAAAAGATCCAACATTTGAAGTTCATGGATGATAGTCTAGTCAATGTCATTGACTAAATTACAATGTTTTATGGTGAATATTGCATTTGTGAATTAAGAATCATCATCATTTCCAACATCACTATTAGGATGTTTTTCTGGCTACCTTGACATTTTTACAGCTTTTTCCTATGACGATTGTTAGTTCAACCTCCCAGTCTAATTGCTCAGTCAAATCTGGATAAACCACATTATCCGTTGGCCCAACAATACAACTGGAAAACTTATTGAAAATGATTGGCTCAGTCGGAACTGGTACATTCTGCTCTGTACAGTGGTCTATGTAATTCATACCAATACATAGCACTTTTTCAGTATTCGTGATTGGTGATAGAAGATGAACTTGATCACGTTTTACTACATGTTGACCGGATGCCAAAATCCTGAAAAAAATTTCAAGTATAAAAATCAAGGATTTTTATTGACAATTATTGCAGAAAAATGCAGGAATTAATACAAAAAGGGACAAAAGTTTTAAAAAAATCAAGTACAAATATGAATCACAGATTTTATAAACTGTGGTCATCACTATTATTATAAACTGTGGTCTTCATTATTATTATTATAAACATTTTTTTCATTTATCTACTAGGCCTATTTTATTATTAATTATCACTATTTTTGTATGTATACACCTAGGCCTAGGCTATTTGTTTTTATAATTCTTAAATAGGCAATATTTTTACTACAAAATTTGATTATGGAGTTTAGCTTCATAATGGCAATGGCATAAGGATTTGGATTTTATCTAGCCTAGGCCTAGGGTGGTCTGCAGCAAACTTACTCTTTAGCCAGGTCTAAATTTCGCTGACCACCTTTAATAAACTGGACCATGTCGGTAGCCAACAGCTCCCCACTCGCCGACAAGTCCACGACATCGCCACCATTCTGCAAATCAATTCCTAATCTCTGGTTTTCATCCATCCAAGTGAACTGAATTAGCCTCATTTTGTTATGTATCTGTCTAGGGCTAGTAGTACTGTTTGAAATACAATTTAGGCCTAGGCCTACTTTAAGTCTCCATAAGACCCTAACCGATTGTCTTGTAATCAGTGAAATTACCATGCTATCTTTACCTTTCCAGCAAAGATACTAGAAATACAAGATAGAGTTCTCACATTGTAAAAATGAGGCGGAAGTCGTGCCCAACGTAGGCGGCGCCCTTCTTTTTAACCATGCAAGTTTCCTATACTTCGTGCCCAACGTACAGGGCGCCCTTCTGTTGCTAAGTATATCCAGACGCAAAAGGCGCCCTTCCTTTTCCACTAATGGTCGAAAACTTTTTCACTAAGAGTGCGTCCGGCCATGCGATTCTGCGCTGTATTGTTGTTTTATTCTTTACTGATTCATCATTATGCTTTAATTGTTTTGTGTATTATTTGGATAATAGCAACGATTTCTACCGCCACCAAGGAGGTTATGTATTCACCGATGGCACTGTCTGGGTGTCTATTCCAGTTTGTTTTTATATCTAGTTCTTTGTTGAGAATTGATAATAAAATACGCGACGACTTGGTAACGAAAGTTTGGCATAAGTTTTTTAGATCCAGCTGTAGGGGGCGTCCCATTTTTCGTATTCCCACCATGCATTTCGGTGGAACACTTTTTTTGTGTGGAGAACTCTATATTGTAATTCTAGTATCTTTGCTTTCCAGGCTTTGCAGATGCCCAGGCCCGTGCCCAGGGTCCAAAATATATTGTTCAATCCAATAATCGTTCGTGAAATCGTGCTGGTTATAAATATTGCGTATTTTACACAACCTACGAGTCAATCAGGTGATGCTATTGGGTCATGTGATGCGTCAAGACAAGAAGAAGACAAGAAGGCGTTCATTCAGTCGCAATGGCTTCTGCAAGGTAGGTAGACACCCATTCGCTTGCTGATACTTTATTTTTTTGCTCAAATTTATTATCAATTTAACACCCACACAACCTAGGCCTACACCCCACCACAACGGTTAGAGAGGTAGCCAGTGCACAGCAGCTTTAGGCCTAACCTAGGCCAGGGAGTTGTTACAGTGACAAATAGTATAAGCCCGAACAGACTTTTACAAGAAAACCCCCCCAAATTTGAACTGAAGAATAATTACTAAAAATGTAAAAATACTGTAGAAAATTTGCTTACTACGGTATTGTGGTTTTATGTTTTAATTTACAGTACATTTTAAACTTAGATAAGTACTTTATTTTTTTTATATTTATCCTAAAGTTGTTTTTTGTTTTTGTTTTTGTTTTTTTTTTTTTACTTTGTTAAATTCTGTGTTTGATTCTTTGATCCCATTTGTTTTTTTGACTTTTTCTTTTGTTGCGAACTTTGTTATGATTTGCACATGTAATTAATTTTGGGTAATCTACAGTTTGGTGGGAGGAGCCGATGTTTCAATTTGTTTCATCATTAAGCTTATTGTTTAATTTTACATTTATATTAATTTGTTAATTAAGTTGTTTTTTTTTTAAATCTCTTTATCTTTTTCTTGTAAGATTGTTTTACATTTTGTTCATTTTATGTATATTGTATGGACGCACCACCTTGCTAGGTGTGTGTTTGATTTTACATTTATATTAATTTGTTAATTAAGTTAATTAAGTTTTTTTTTTTTAAATCTCTTTATCTTTTTCTTGTAAGATTGTTTTACATTTACCTTGCTAGGTGTGTGCCACTGATCTAAAAGTGAGTTCCAATAAATACTGAAATACTGAGTGACACTATAACAACTCCCTGCCTGGGCATACGCAGGCGGCAGCAGATAGATGCAGTTTTCTATTCTATGAGAATTCCAGCTGCCTATTTCTTTGCTTACACTTTGATGCTTTGTTCTATTCCGATTAATTTTCCTCGAGGTGACGCATTTTAACTAACCTTAGGGGCGCTAAATAGTACGGTTTTATAGAGGGGCTAGGGCGCATTTAATGTCATTGAATTGCAAAATTCGTCCCTTTTTACAGACTACCGTGTCCAGTGGACTTTACAGTCGACCCACAAGATTCAGCATATGATGGCATTGTTCTGGTCACTGATTCCTTGGACAAACTCACCGGGAAACTTGAGTTCCTCAAAGAGCCACTACAGACACTCAAGACCGTGAGTAAACATTTATTATGGCATAGTCATTCTATAAGGCAACGAATTTCTAATTAATTGGTTGAACAGCAGTTGATTTGGTTGTTGCAATAAAATAAAATAACATTTATTTAGTGATTTGTGTCATACTAAATACTTGTTGTTTTTAATTTATTGTTTTGTAGTAACATTTATTTTAGTGATTTATTTACTGTAAAATTTGATAATCATTATTCATTAATAATTTATAATAATTATATAAATTGTTCTCATACAAAATCTGTTAGGTTGATGCTGCTGTTGGAAGTGATATAGTTATCGCAGGCTACAATTTAAAAACGGGCGACCAATTAATAATAAATTAGGTGCTAAATTTTGATTTAATGCTGGGTAAGTTAAAGACAGACATTCATTCCGAGTGGGACTCATTCAAAAATTCGAGGGGGTTCGCTAGAATACAGGGGGGTTCGCTAGAAAAGGGGGGTTCGCCCGAACCATAAAAACCCCCCCTGGCTACGGGCCTGAATCAAGCAAGAACTACATTCAATTGTACAACAAAGACAAACAAAAATTAATACTGAAAACCTAAAATTATCTGTAATTAAATAGTCTGTAGGTTAAATAATCTGTAATTAAATCATTTGTAGTTAAAATACTAAGTAATAAAATAATCAGTATTAAATAAATATCTGTATTACACTAATTTTCAACACTTCAAGCATAAGACACCCATATAAAGCAATATGTGAAACCAATATTTTTAACAGTTTACTAATTTTATATACAAATATCCATAAAATACATAATTTAAGTTGATGTTTGATACTATACCATTCTGTTTGATTTTTTTCCCCAGAGCATTGAAGGCTGGTGTAAAGCGCCCTCTATTAGTCAGAGCTGAAGACAACAGTTTTTCAGAAGCACTACTCGTTTCTGTACTTGGGGCTTTCCACTCTCTGTATGTTGTAAGTAGCAATTAAATATTGAACAATGTTCAAGAACTCTGAGGTAGTAAACATAGACAAATAAATACCATAAACATAAATTCCATTGCTTGTGTTCAGTCACCTGGTATATATTGTATCTTGTTATAAAATTTGATACTGAAAATGAAGATTATTATAATTTATCATTTATGAAAACTGTAATTGTTTGATTTTATTTCTTGAATACCATGAAACCTTGAATAGATGCCCTGGGTTTTTTTTATTTTTTTTTTACCCTTGATTGGGCTTCTTTTTGAGGAGGGCTTTTTTCAAAATGAATGCTGTAAATTTTCGAATCATGCTGTTACTATCCCATTTACCAGCAAACCCTTTAAAAGGGCATTCGGGTACTGGGTTGATGAACCAGGTTTTGCCAGAATCTTATCTCAATAATCCAATTAAACATCAAAGAAGAATACCTCTACTAAAGAGTCATTATCACAGCAGGCATTGCTGTTTCTCAATAAATTACCAGTATAGTATTTAAAAACCAGGCTGGAAAATTTTTAAAACCTGATTTTGGCATTTTTATTACCTATTTTATTAATAATTTCAGATAAAAATCATAATAGATATGCTTTTAAATTTTAAAAATCAATGACTTATGTTAGAAGTTACAACATGGTTTTTGATTTAATTGTGCTAGTCTTCTTAAGAACTATTCACAACCAATAGCCTCGTTCACATCGAACTATGTCGACTAGATTATCTACTTGATGTCGACAATAGTTTCGACGTGAACGGTCAATTACGGCGAGATAAAGTTCATAACTCGACGATGGCTGTTAGCTTGACTAACTTGTAAATCCAGTCATCGTCGAGTTGATAACGCACCACGGGTGGCCTCAGGTCACGAATACACCAATCAGAACGAAGCCGGTTGACCCTTAGCAAGCTTGCTTGTTTGTTAGTTTATTTTGATCGTTCGAGAGAGAAGGTTTTTCAGTGTAGGCCTAGCTTAGATCTTTATATCAATTATGACCGAGAAAGTACGCCAAAAGGGACATTGTTGGACTTATGAAGAAGAATTCGAACTTATTGACATTTGGAAGGAACCAGAGGTATGTGAAAAGGTGGAAGATAAAATGTACAGACAAAAAGCTACCATTCATGAGCAAATGGCTGTACGAATGCGTGATCTTGGTCACACCGGGATCACAACCGCCGCTCTCGTGAGCGTAGTTGGTCTAGCAAGGTATCTCGACATAATCGGACCATCGAACGCAATTAGGAGTGTAGCGCTGTTCAATAGTTTATATACTTATGTCGACAATAACCGATGTGAACCAAGCTACTGAGTTTCACTGTTAATCTTGTTACAAAATTCCCTGAAGCAGTAATTAATAGAGATAAGTAAGAAGAGATCGGCAAAACCTGGTTCAAAAATTGAAAATTTGGTAAATGGTGAAGTTTCCTCATTTCCTACTGTACAACATATTTCAACCATAGAATTCAAAATTATGTTCAATATTTTATTAAATTTTCATCATTTAATACCATGAAATAATATTGATGCTGACACGCCATCATAATAATCAAAGAAAATAGTCTGAATGCAAGTACTATCTCGAAAGGAGCCCATATTATCTTGATTAGAATCCCATTCGTTTCGAGATGGTCTTCTTTTCGAGACTAAGCCCATGGTGCTTCTATTCAAGCTTTTATGGTATTTTTCTTTTCATTGACTTTAATACTTTATTTTTATATTTCTGATTTGTTTACTAACTTTATATTTTCTTCAATTAAAAAGCCCATTGAGATACGCGATATGAAAACTGATCGTATGACTAAAGCAGACCAGCTAGGCTTCTGGTGTCCAAATGAGTCGGTAGGAGATCGTGTCAAGAATTGGTCTGAGGCACTTGAAAGTGGGCGGTAAGGAAGAATCTACATCACGGTAGTCCTCTTAAGCAGTGGTGGCTGTAGGATCCACATTAAAAAGGGCGGGGCTAAGAAGGTGTGGCTGACAGATTCCAGAGGAGATTAGTGGAGTCCACCAGCAAAGGCTTTATGGTCCATGCTGTAAGACCCTGGTACAATATCTAGAGAAACTGACGTTTTGTACCCTTAAAAGTTAATTTTGAGGCAGTTTAAACGTTGTTAGTCCCAAAATTTAAAAGTTTTGATTTTTGTGGTCCAAATAGTTATTGGCCCATGGAGGACTGGGACTGGTCAACATGTTCTTTAGCCACCTGCTCCTACTCTTAAGTCTGAGATATGTTTTGAAATATTGTATTTTAAATGTTCGTTTCATTCAGTCTGGTGGCCCGGGATATTGGTGGATCAGACCCTGAACGCATGGCAGCCCCAAAGGTTAAGGAGTATATGCAGGAATTGTTTGGTGGTGAAACCTCTTCTGTTAAGGTAAGTGAAAATTATTCAAGATTGTAGTGCATAACACAACAGAAAACAGAACTTTAAGGTCAAACTACAGTGTCTATTCAGCAGTGACCTTTTTATTCTGGAACCTTGAATTATTTGAATGTCTGGATCCACCCCAGCAATAAACTCACTGGGTGGAAAGAGACAAGCATAGGTAAAAGTGTCTAAAGCTGCATTTATACCGAAGCCGAATTCGGTTCGTATGGCTAACGAAACGAAAAAAGAATATCGAATCAGTGGTAAAGAATAGAGGAGCGTACTAAGACGCGCATTGAAAACGTTCTACGAACCAAATTCGGATTCGGTGTGAATCTGCCTTAAACCTCATGTACAGAGGGGGATCCAGAATTTTTGAAACGAGGGGAGACCAATTTCACATAGGCCTAGATGTAATAATAATACTGTACAGACAAATATGTACAGTATACAATAATGGTATGATTCGTGTTCAGTACAGTATGTGCTTTTATGAATTATAAGTCAGTCGTGATGTAATCTTCCTATCCGCGATCAAGCACTAATTCATTATAGTGTCTTCGATTTTTTGCGTCTCGTGTGCCAAAAACTCAATGAAAGCTGGGGTTTTATAATGAAATTATATAAAAAAAGGCTTGTATACATATTCATGGAAAGTGGTTACATAAACCGGTGTGAATTTACCGTTACTCAAGGAGAAAATAAGCAAGGTGATATTATGTAATTTTTTTTTTAAAGATTTTTTAATTCCAAGTGATATTTTACCTTTTGTACAGGTTAATGTTGTGGATGATGATAAAATACTGCTTGAAAAATACCCACTGTTCTCCGCTGTCAATCGCTGTGCCAAACATGTTCCTCGTCACAAAGGCTGTGTCATCAAATTAGAATATGCCGGACAGGGGGAAATTGAGGAGACACTGATGCTGGTAGGAAAGGTAAGGTAATGACTGCCAATGATGTAACTAAGTGAAGGCCACTGGAGCAGTGGTGTGTCTACAGGAGGGGGGAGGGGGGTGGTGGGGGTGCATGCCCGTACAAAAGGGCTTGCTTGCACCCCCACTGGAAATTTTCTTAGCAAAGTAGTTTTTTTATATAATTAATGTGGCTTAAATAAATTTTGGTTCAATATTTGTACTGAAAGGGTGTGACCTATGACACTGGTGGAGCAGACATAAAAGCAGGAGGCGTTATGGCTGGAATGCATAGGTAATTATGAATATAATTATAATAAGTTCAGCACAAAATTAAAGCAGATATTTTTTTTTGTTTTCAAATTATGCAAATGCTAACAGTATTTCTACATCTTTTATCAATTGTAGAGATAAGTGTGGTGCTGCTGCTGTTGCTGGATTTTTCCAGATTGTGAATTTGATCAAACCGAAAGGTATCAAGATTGTGGGTACGATGGCGATGGTGCGAAACAGTGTTGGATCAGGTATGCATTCATATTAATGCAAAAGCCCAGTGGCGGATCCAGAATTTTTTTGCTGGGGTGGCATAAGTATGAATTGAGGACCCAAGGTCAGACATTAATGGTTGAAAAAGGAAAGTTTTGGGGTGTTCACTTAACTACTATCAGAGGGCAATGCCTCCTAGAATTTTTTGACTTAAAGCTTGGATTGAGTTGGAATCAAATATATTTCTAGATAATTAATTGAACATAATAATTGAATGAGAAATACCTATATAAAAAAAATTAAATAATAAACATTATATTTATTTACAGAATGTTATGTAGCTGATGAAATTATCACTTCCCGTGCCAAGAAGAGAGTACGTATTGGGAACACTGATGCTGAAGGTCGCATGGCAATGGCCGATTGTCTTTGCGAGATGAAAGAGAAGGTGGTTACACATATTTTTTATATAGGCCTTGAGATCCAGCTTTCTGTAGCTAAGGCCAACAAAAAACCTCAGTTTCGCACATTTTGGGTCAGTCGGACATGGCCAACACAAGAATTTTTTTTTATTTGGCCTAATGCACATTTGTGGGTGTATCTATGGGTCTTGTAATGTCCATCTGAATGTTTTATGTCCCTGCGCAGTTTGACTCATTTTTTTTAAATTTTTGCTCAGATTCCTTTTCTGTTACATTTCTAGTAAATTAATAATTACAGTACTGATCATGGGCAATGCACTTTTTGCCTGCAGTCACCCCATTCCACATCGAACAACTGCCCACGCAGGCAAAGCTAGCTCGCGGTGCGTACAGTCAAGATTTTAGAAAAAGCGATGGCCAGAGCAATGTTTAGAGAAGATTTTGAAATGTATTTCTCATTTTGTGTTTAGTTGTATTAAATGTTGTATCTTAATTTATCTCAGGCCATCAAAGAGACCAATCCGCAGCTGTTTACCATTGCCACCCTGACAGGGCATGCAGTTCTCGCCATGGGACCAGAATATTCGGTACAACTTAATAATATTTTTTTTTTCAAATTTATATTAACATCCAAAGATGGTACATTATACTGAAATTTTATATTAATTTAATTTCTATCTTTAAAACTCTTTAAAACTTTTGTTCCCTATAAAGTTGTCATTTATTGTCTATCATATTTAAGTTTAATTTACTTGCAGTTGTTATATATGTTATACCTATATTTGGTGCATATTCAATCTCATTTTGAGCAACAGTTTCAGTAGTTTTGTGTATACAAATACTGTACTCAATCATTTACTGAATTTATTCTGTCACTAGATTGTTATGGATAACGGTCCTGCTCGTAAGAAGCAATGTGCTCAGAATCTTCAGGAAGGTTCGTTTTATATTATTGTTCTAAACAACTATGTAATAACTTCCCGTCTGTTTCACTGGTCCCATTGTAAAAATTAGTCCATCAGAGAACAAAGTAATAAGGTTTATAAGTGATCAAATGCTGCAGCACTTATAACATTTTTGGGTGCTTCAGTTCAGCGCTTAACCAAGACAAGTGCTTATTCGAGAACGGCGCTTATAAAAATTATTGTCGTGGTGCTTTTCACGCCGGTTCCCATGTTACCCTGTTTCTCAAAGTGTTTCATTACATACAGGGTAATATATACTCTTGATTATCACCGCGGTGATTATTCGAGAGCGGCGCTTTAATCGAGCATCTACGGTTTATATGTCAACAAACAATGACCTTAACACGTATGTCTTTGGTATAGTGCTGGAACACTTCTTCTCAGTTAGTAACATCGTAAACGTAATAGTGGCAGATGTAAATTACATTTGTTAATATGGAAAAGAATAAACATCAATTTTCCTTTGACTTTCAGCTGGAGAAATATTAGGCGATCCATTTGAAATATCAACGATTCGCAGAGAGGTCAGCTTTTCTATTTTTATCACTAAATTAAACTTTTCAAGGGAGATATATACTGGTCTCCCTCTAATTAAAGACCTCTTCAATTGAAGACCATCTCAAATTAAGGACCAGTTTTTTCTGTGGTCCTGAATTAGCAATCTGCATACACTAAAATTTATTTTCATGATAATATTAATAATAATAATAATAATAATAATAATAATAATAATAATAATTAAAAAAAAATAATAATAATAGTAATAATAATAATACACAGACAACAGTCATGGCGCTTGTCTGCATGAGCTAAAACAATATGGAGCAACATAGTAGTGCCGCTTGGGGCCAGAGGATGGATCTGCAACAAGAAGGAACAGACAAAATGCAATCAGTGTATAAAGAGTATCAGATAGCTTTACTAGTTAATGTCATTTTTAATTAATGTCATAATCATTAATTATGCTGTGTCTCGTTCGTACCTTTCCAATCTGGGTCGTTTTCCACTCCCAAACTGAGCAGTTTGTTTCCCTGCTCTTTCTGCTCTTGGAAAGGAACATGATATGGGAAAGAGCTAGGTGACTATAGTCTGACGCTACCAAATTTCATATAAGTTGTCTCCATTTGTAGGATTATGATTTTCATTCTGGCAAGTCCGAATATGAAGACGTCCTTCAGTGTAACAATCTGCCGTCATCAAAGACTCCGAGGGGACACCAAGGGCCTGGAGCATTCCTCATCCTAGCCTCCGGACTAGATCAGGTTGGTCTTCTCTTTAAATAATGTATTTTTCTCTAAAGTATTTTGATTTGATTTGATTTCATTTATTTGTCTCGTAAAAACAGCCAAAAATATTATTCCCATATAAAAAATAAATATGTATCGTCCCTTAAAGTAATCTTTCAAAGTTTTCTCGCACATCAGTCGGCTAGTCATCCCAAAGGCGGAGAAAACAATTACAAATTGATAATTTTTTATTGTGTATAATTTCATTATATTAATATAAATTAATATAGTATTCATGATTTTAAATATATTGTATATTAGATACTTGTATAATGTATTGCTGTAATACCTTTTAATAAAATAAAATTTTAATCTTTATTTTAGTACAAAATACAGAACAAATCCAATTGAGAGAATATACAATTATCAGTATTCTTATTAAGTAATATTTTTGTTCTTTTTTATTCTAGCACGGCATCGATGGTGAAATTCCTCTTCGCTACTCTCACCTGGATATAGCCGGGTCATCTGGTCCTTTTCCAGGAGTACCAACAGGTGCTCCTATTGTTGCATTGGCTGCTAAATATCTAATGCCAAAGTAAAACTATTCACTTTGAAATTATCAATGACCAACCTCTACCCAGATATCAATGTAAATCTACTGTTGTTTTTTTTTTAAATTGAGGCTTTTGATCGCATGATGAATGTAACCTTAGCGCCGATTTGCTCATCTGTGACCGTCTAGAGTTCTTTGGAGGACGTCGTATAATTTTGCCCTAAACCACGTAGAATGAGAATTTTGCCGGATGCGCAGAAGAATTTATGTTACATCATTACGTCTCCAAACATACCGTTGTGCAATCAAAAGCTCCATTGCTAATAAACACTTCTTATTTAGTCGATATCAAATCAAATTTAGTTCTCGAATGAACTAAAGAAATATATTTTTCAGATTCAATTCTCTATATTATTATAACTTCTAAAGTTTGCTTGCTTTGTATACGTAGCATTCAGTAACAGGTTGTCACTTTCAAAAAGGACCAAGGATGTAGATTGGCTACAAGCAATGTTCGATGGTGCTGTGCCATTAACTCAATGTGACCTATGTTATAAAATGATGTTATTTTAAATATATATATTGTTTTCTTAGTACTGTATTAGATAATTTCGGAGAGCGCCACCAGCGTCTGTTAACCGATGTACATCAAATGAATGATCGTATTTAGTCGATATCAAATAAAATTTAGTACTCGAATGAACTAAAAAAATATATTTTTTAGATTCAATTTTCTATATTATTATAACTTCTAAAGTTTGCTTACTTTGTATACGTAGCTTTCAGTAACAGGTTTTCACTTTAATAACAGGACCAAGGATGCAGATTGATTGCAAGCAATGTTCGATGGTGCTGTGCCATTAACTCAATGTGACCCATGTTATAAAATGATGTTATTTTAAATATATATATTGTTTTCTTAGTACAGTACTGTATTAGATAATTTCGGAGAGCGCCACCAGCGTCTGTTAACCAGTGTACATCAAATGAATGATCAATTCAATGTTTTGAATTGATTTTTGCATGTTTTTTTACTATGATCTTATACAGTTTGTGTTAGAATATAAACCCAGACATTTGTGTCATGGTATATATTTTTCATTCCCAATCAAAAAAACTTTATAACTTTTTCACGTGAATTATTGTTAGGTGGTGGTAAATAATGGCAGACAGCATCAAAAATTATAAAACCCGCACAGCTAATCTGAAATTGTGCAGTTTTTTTTCAGTACATCCTATCAGGGAACAGTTAAATTTAAAACTGTTAATTTCACTCTTCCCTGATTTTATGTATGGCTATAACAAAGAAAATTTATATTAAACGTTTCAGATTCAAAGCAATGTATTTTGTGTTTACAGTGTTTGTAGGCCTTCTAGTAGTAGCAAAAGACTATGCAATTACATTTTACAACACGATAACAAGTAGGCCTTTAATCTTGGATTTTTTTAGCTGATCCCCATAGATATCTTGAATGAATTATAGAAACCTTCTTGTGAAGGTGGACAGAAAATTTATGACCATGAAATAACATAATACAAATAGGCCTAATGTCATCCCAAATCTACGCTGCACGCAGACGATGTCGGATGGTGACAAATGGGTGATACGTTTTCTTGCAAATTGAAAGCTCAGCAACAATATATAAGGGATGGGGGCTTATCCTAAAATTTCATTCTATAAACTTTTTAAAACGAAACTTTCTTCAAACATTGGAAGAGAGCATTGTATTGAAATGTTGGCAATCAACCAATCACAGAAGACAATTATGCATATTTAATTACTTTCTTAGCTGGTGGAGCACACTAATAAGACCATGGTCAGAGTTTAATGGTTGGGTAGGTGATAGGGGCTGGGCATGCGGCAGGAGTGGTTGACAGTTGTTTTTCAGATGACTCATGACTTATATTGAGGTATATTTATTCAATATTCCTTGTCCTTCCCTGTATTATATTTTTCCAGTAAAATGCATACATTGCAGCACATGACTGTATTGCGTGTGCATTTACAAAGTTTAAAAATATAATAAACAAAAAACAGCATATAAAGTGACAACACAAAAAATATCGAAGGAAAAAATGAAAAAAGTCGGTCCAAATCAAATTATACATCAAAATACGAGACTAGCCTAAGCCCCAATTAATACGTATACTTTCAATCATCATAAAAAGATATGACGATTTATTGTTCTCACTTTTTTGCTTTGTAATTTTTTAATCTGTATAATCTATTTGTCAGCTTATCAATCAATTAATCAATTAATATTCACTTTAATATAATTTCTTTTATAATTCTAGCCTATGCCTGACCGAGGCTAAAGAGAGGTTAGCCTGAAATAGCGACCCATGGAGCAAGCTACTGCTAGGCCCGATGAAACTATCAGACTAATTCCTATTAGTAATATAGTATATATTATTAGTGATAAATCCTTAATAAATGCATTTTTTATTATTTTTTTCAAAGTAGCTTCCAACCATGTCCCACAAACACGGCCTATCTTTTATAATTGCAAATTTTCCGATTGCTTAAACATTGGAATTGCCGTATACCAAAAATACATTATATATTGAATCGTAACCTAATAAATTAATATCAATATCAGTAAATAAATTTAAATGTCACACTTTACGATAACTGACGCAGTTTGCATACTGGCGCGCACAGTTTGAAACGAATTTGAAACATCAATACGGTAACTCAAAATGAGCAAAAGGAACAAACTGCACACAAGAAGTATACGCAGAAAGAAGTATACGCAGAAACTCACCGACTAAACATTTAAAGAGTGGATTTCCTTATCTTGTGGTCATTAGACTGTAATATTATTAACTAAAACCATTCAATAAAACAACATAAATATATACATAGGCCTATCAAAATTATGAGGCTTAACCTCCTACGTCGACGCTGCATGCATAAAACGCAATTTCTTAAAATTAGGATATACCGGTATGAGATTGATAATAAATCATTCTTTATAGTATTTAATGAGCGAACTTCCTTATAATTTAAGGAAACATGAATTTAAATCGGTCTGAAACTACGTGACAAAGTATTCTATGTTTAGAAGTTAAAGAGATAGTGGGGTCATTTTGAGTGATTCTGGGACCATTTCTTTTTTAGAATGGGTTTGGCATCCGGAACCATCTTAGAACAAAATTAGCTCATTATGTCCCTCTGAAAAATGTCGGCACCATCTTGAACCAACTCCATCCATGTAATGTAGCTCATCTTAATCCATAGATATTTGATTTATGTTTTTCAAGGTGGCGTTGGATTTATAATTTTCTTTCCGACATTGGAAAAAAGTAGCAACAAAATGGTCTCAGAATCCCCCAAAATGACCCTACTAAGTGGAGTTCTTTATGTTGTGGTCATATCAGACTGTAATGTAATTAACTAAAACTTTAATTGTGGGACGAAATATTCTGGAAACTGATTAGCTCCAGCGGCTTCAGATTGATCCATATTAACAATATTATCTGTAGACGTAAGAACATGAAGCGCTATACTTCTTCAGGTCCAACAACACCAATACTAATACAAATTAAAATAGCATATTCACTAAATTATGGGTTCAGGTTTTTAGCTCCAAGAAATTGCCAAAATTGGGATTTTTAAAACCTTTATGTAAGATTCTGGTATATTGACTAGTGTGGTAACATACTCATACTGCAGGTTAAAATGTACTTTTACTATACAGAGCACTGCAGTTATGGTTTTATATGTCGAGAAATCTCTATTTTTATACCACAAATCTTGTTTTTATCCCTAATATGTATGTATATATANNNNAAACTCAGATACGTAAAATGTTGAGTTTAGAAACACTAAAATTTAGTGAAACGAATATTTCGACTACTTATGTAGTCTTTGTCAACGCTTGACATAAAATGAAAAAAATAATACAAACAAATAAGTATACGATAATGATAGAGATAAGATATATATATTTCTTCCTAAATTATATAAATTTGAAGCATTTAACCATCCTATTTTACATTTACCAATATAATTTTATTTTTATTTTCTCCCCCGTCTGGATGATTTTTGGCAAAAAATATTTGCTAAATAGGAAAACAAAATTTTATTTTTGTTTTTATTCCGCCCTCTACCAAAAATCTTTAATAAAAATAATATGCGAAAAAAGGAGTAAAAAAAGTCTCGCCTTATCATCAATAAAACTAGGATCAAACCAATAATAGGCCTAGTAATAATAATGATAACAACAACAACAACAACAATAATAATTATAATAATAATAATAATAATAATATTAAAATGTGAGTCATTGGCATAATTGGCGCATGTAAGACATTACGTGAGTATCAGCAACATTTTTAGACGTCAAATTGATTGAGCAATTCATTTAAATTCTCAATATAATCTATTTTCTTGATCTATATACCATCATGCTTCTCCTCAAAATGACACGAGTGACTATATAAATAAATAACTCAAGAGTGGTATAGAAATTATAGAAACGATCAGGTGTTAGTATAATTGTCACATGCGGACTTAGTAATGTAGGCCTGTCAGTGCAGTAATAACGATGACGGTAAGTCATACATATGCCAAACTTTGGTATAAAGAAATCCATTCAAATACTTCGTCCTCAAATGAGCGGGATTATATAAAGAAAGACAGCTATAGAAATAAACAAAGAATTGAATATAAAATAAATAAATGAGGCGTTGGTATAATTGGCGCATCTCGCTGCAATATACGTACAACAAAGTAATAATATACGGTAGTGATATACGCATCAGCAGCAACAACGGTAAGCAATAAATCTGTCAAACTGATAAAGAAGTTCATTAACATTCATTATTGTTATCGTTTTGCTAAAAATTAACACAATGCTTCCTGTCTTCAAATTTGACGAGTTGCTGTATAAAAAGAAAGGCGGCTATAGCAATAGAAATGACCGATGAATATAAAAATGGAATCACAATTCGACTCGAAAAGGAAGTGGAATGAATGGCGTGGGGTTGAATAGCTTAGAGCTATTGCATTCTTAACCGCTCGGAAATACGTCAAAAGAATTAATGACATTGAATGTATTACTCTCTGCACAATATACTGCAGCACGATGACTAAGTATGAACCTACTCCACTGGGAGCGACAAAGGTTGCACCTTGTGCTGGGTTGCCAGCTTATTATAGATGAAAAGTTGGCAGAAGGTGCGGTATATGAGAGTTTAATAACCGAGCGCTGACGTAATTGGAGCATTCAGAGTTTCGATTCGGGAATAACATAAGCATCTGCAAAAACAACAATAAGAAGTAAAGCCAATGTGAAAAATGAATTCATTCAAATCCTTCACATCATCTATTCTATTGTCTCCTACAAATTACCATCATATTGATCCAATATCCCTAAATGTCACGAGTTAAGCCTAGTTTCCATAAAATCGCTACATGTTGCCAGGGAACAGTAAAATTACACTGTTCCCTGATGTTACCGACAACTGCCACTCCCCCCCCCCCACTCCGCGGTCTTTAACCACCCGATCATTTACCATCTTGAGCCGTACCCGATTTTATCCACATTTTTGCTACTCGGCCTTTTGCCAGTCGCCTTCCTTTTGCTATCCGGCCAATGTGACAACTGGCGTAGACGACAAAACATCACTCCTATATTTTCCTAACTCAAACATCGAAATAACATTTGCAGTCACCTGCTGCTACTTGGGGATCGGATTCAACACTAAAAACTAAGCACAAGCTCGGTGGTCTAGTGTTCATGGCACCAGGCTTCTTATCTGGAGGCCGTGGGTTCGGTTCCCTCCAGAATCACTTGTGAATCTTTGTGTTATAATGCATGTATGTCACTTGATTTTGATTCTGAAAATAAAACATTTTGAGAAAAGAATGTTGGTGACAATGATGAAGTCGTTAATGTTTATTTTGACGATGGCGTGGCGTGACGATGACGATAATCTTGATAATCTTTTTTTTTTTCTTTTTTTTTTGTAGACGTAATTTTAGATGCACTGGTAATGAAAAGGGACGACAGCACGTTTTCTTTTTATCATAGCCGGCTGGCCGATGGTCAGTAGTGTCCGTTTGAGCTCCCAACCACGATAATAATAATAGTAATAATAGCCTAATATTGTAATGCTATTAAATTATAAATTATTGTTATAACATAAGCAAAATAATTATTATTAGCATTATTATCTACGCTAATAATAGATATTATTTAATTAAACAAATGCTTGAAAGTGAAAACTATTATTTGCTGACCCTGTAAGTCGTGTTAATTTTCGATTAATAGTTTTTGAATCGATCGCAGTATTATCTTCTAACCCAAGTAAACCGTTTTATCGAAACTCGAGTACTCAATTTTTCGCTTTTTGGAAAAGAGTGTCTACATTCATCAATAATCCACTATTAATGTATTAAAAAATGAACGTGCGTGGCGATCGTATCTGAGAGTTAATCTTTGGCCGTTCACGCGTAATTACCACATGTGACTACGCATGAGCCATGCCATCGCATTCAACTACACGCCATCTTCATGCTAATGGAGTGTTAATGTAAAGGGCAAACATGACTGAAGAGTGATGAGAATATAGAATTTGAGCTAGTGTACTTATTGACTTAACGTGTTAATGTGTTTGGTCTTTATCATGAAAGAAATCTAGTTCAGAGAATTTCAATACCGTGTTTTAATGAAATCAGTATAATAACAGTGATAATTGAGGTTGAAACATTCAAAACAATTATGCTAATGACAATGTTTTATTAAGGCTAATGATTATGACGACAATAGGCCTAAAAATTGTAATATATAAATATAAGCATACTCTTACTTGATAGGCTAAAACAAACTGTAACTTTTAACGTGGATATCGGTATTATTAGGCCTTCTGTGTCCAAATCCAAATAATTTATCAACTGCAAATAAAACTATTCTCAAAGAATTTCATCTGGTTCCATAAGTGTAGCATGAAGAAAGTGAGCAGTTGCTGAAACGTTGCTGGTAATCAACTAACTGGTTCAACAAAACATATAATTTTCATATTCAAATAAGACGCAAGCATAGGCCCTATCTTCTTTTTAAAATTTCTAATATTTTTCCTGATAAACTATAGATTTACATATAGTGGTAATATGACTCATTGCAATTTTCTTCTTTCAACGAGTGTTTTGTAATTCTAAACTAGTTTTACGAGTAATCTTGGAAATAATTTTTGTACTATTTAAAAAAAAAATAACAAGTAAAATTGACTCTAGATAGAGTGAGTATTGTAGGCACATTTTTCTTATATTTTCGTTAAACCACTGAGAAGTATGACTAATCCCTAGTTGAACTTAAGGTACACCTAATTTCTTTTTTCATATATGTATTGTTAATATATTGCTAAGTAGTGAAATACACAAATATCACGTGCTATTTCCATCGGGATCGTGCATGAACATGTCCATATTTGTATACTAATTAAAAAGTTAAATTTGAATCCTCCACAGCTGACGTCATCCTAAAATTATTCTGACATCTTCCATCCAGTGCTCCGCTATGCCTCTTAATACACTTAGTCGACCCTGCAATATCAATATATGAATAGAAATAGGCCTATTCCCGTGCGGCAGTAACTGATAATATATCCCCAGACGCTTAATGTTGACATGCAGGTTTCTTATATTAATATACCATATATTTATATTTCTTATTTTCCCTTTTATTCCTCAGGTGCTAATATAACCTAAAATTGATTTTCATATTATGCGATTGAGGTTTGGTTCTATTGAGTATGCTTCATGTTTAATTTCCTTGGTTTAGAAGGAAATAGGATTGATTCCTTAGCTTCCGGATGTATTTTTTTCTTCTTATTATTATTATTATTATTATTATTATTATTATTATTAGTATTATTAGGTTTATACTTATTGTTGTAGAAATGTTTTAATCGTTAAGAAACCAATGGATGTTTATGTTATTATTTTTAAATTAATACAGTTATTTCATGATTATTCCTAATATTTATCTTCATTTTCATTATTATTAATATTATCATAATTATTCCTAATACTCATCTTCATGAGTCAATTGGCCGAGCGGTTAGCAGGGGCGTCGCAAGCTATAGCCATAATATCGGCGCTGGTTCGAACGGCACGCTCGCGCTATGGTTCTGGTGGTAGAACAAGTCTTCCGGATAAGGATTATAAACCGTAGGCCCAGTGTATACAATGGCTCGTGTGCACTAGAACCCGGTACATCCTTGGAAACGAGTAGGGGGATACCCCGGTGTACTGGAACAGACAGCACCTGTGGTGGACGATGAGAGTTGCTGGTACCGGGCCGGGTAGCACAGACACGAAGAGACCCTTAGGCCTATAGGGGCGAAGAAAGTCATTGATCGAGTTCCTAGTCCACATATCAAGCTCCCTGAGCATCTTACATTAGATGGATATGTGCGCTATATAAAACTACACTATTAGGGCCTACTATTATTATTATTCATTGTCATCATTATTACACTGTTAATTCAAACCACGATGCAACGGGGTACTTATAGACTACTCGACCGTAATGACTATATACGGTAATACCGTAATGACTATATACGGCGCATCAAGAATGTTTACTAAGTATTGTGCATTAATTGATTGTTTCTAAAACATTGTCATTATTAGGCTACTGCAATACTTCGTTGATTCATTACTCTACGCTGAAATTCTAAAGAAGCGTTCTGAAGATTAATTCTATGCCTCACTTTTCCTCGTTTTAATTGAAGTAGTTGTATAGAAAAAAGAAGGGGTCACCGATAATTCAATATAATATGCCTGCATAATTGTCCCCGTTGTCTTTCTTCACCGACTATCAGGAGTAATTATCTGCAAACTCATACACATATTATACTATTACTAAACTATATTATACTATACTATACTCTACTATAATAATTATAGTTTTAATCACTTTGAATTTCTTTTATCTTAATACTCACACTAAACATTTTAAATGCAACCTCAATGTAATTAAATTGATAAATAAGTAGTAAGGAATATACATTGTTCCCGGTCAATTAATCAACTACAGTACATCCGCATTCTACGTTCAGTTAGGATTAGATACCGTAGGCCTAGGTCATTATTTTAAGCATTATTCATTTTAAAGCCTAATATATATTTAAAGGGGGAGAAGGTTCTGCATTTAAAACATATTTGAAATAATTTGGGTCAGACAAAAATTTGCAAATAACGGAGAAATACAGAGACAAAATGCTAGGCTTATTATTATTCGACACTTTCAAGTTCATGTATTTTTTTCACTTGCTTGGATTCCAGTTTCAAAGAACTCATTATAATATTCATAAATGAATCATTTCATCTGTACAAATAACAAGCAGTTTATAATTAAAATCACAGACTTCTGAAAAATATAAAACCTACAAAAAGATTGATTTCACAGAAAATTAGCTATATATTAATATATTTTATTCTAGAGTGAAAAGCGAAACTTTTAAAATAGTCAATTTAAGTAATTTCTATGCTTAAACACTGTGTAATTTGAGTAACGCAATCATCAGTTTCGGTTAAGGACTCAGTTTGTAACGTTCATTCTTCACTACCGACCTCAATGTAAATCTAAGCTAGTGTTTTCATAAAATCGCCACACGCTATCGCCAACAGGTTTCGGCAACGCTGGTAGGTCGATCGATCGGGATGCCTTCCCGATTGTGTCGGGGACGGCTCGCAGGGCAACGGTTCCACTGAAAACACTGTAACGACAGTGCAGTGGCGTATCTAGAAGTCTTGAATGGGTGGGGGAAGGCTGATGGTGGGGCGCAAAGTTCGGGAATCGAGGATGATCAGTTGAGGGGCGCTAAATTTGCAAAATATGGTGATTTTAGGTGATTATTAACTACTTGACCGTGATTATTTGGGGGGGGGGCGGCGACTAGGGGGGGTGCAAATAATATTTGTGTGGGTGCCCCCGCGCCCTCCCCTAGATACGCCACTGCGACAGTGTAACAATTCTATGAAAACCATGTTTTATAGGTCGTAGGCCTAATTTACTGTGCTACAAAGCACTGTGTAATTTCAACGCCAGAACTCCCCCAACCCCTTTAATGTCGTCATTCTCTTAATTTTACATCCATCAAACCAATTACAGTATATTTGTTTCTTTTTAATATAAAATTCTTTCATCTCTGTGCTTAACTAAGGTTCATATAGCTAAATGTGTATCTTTCAGCAGAGTTGTTGCTTTCGCGACTATACCAACCTAGGGTCAATGTTTTTCTTTTATCATTTTCATGAGAGTAAAAAAAAATACTTATTTTAGCGGGTAGGGTTAGCTTCACAGTGCGGACATAGGTCTATGAAAAAGACAATAAAGATATCGACTCGTACGAACATCAATCATCATTCTATTTGTGAGAGGTCACAAAAAGAATATAACTTTCACCCTCTTCAAAATGATGAAAAAAATAACGATCTCTTAAATAATCTTTTTCAATTTCAAAACTGAATACTTGATTGCATACTCATCCCATGGAGAGAGGAGGCAAGAATAAAGTATGTTTTATTCTCTCTTGAAAATGATAGGTGACCCCTTGTGTAACCTTCGTATTAGAGTCTAGATTTTGGAGACGCGTGCTGGTCAGTTTGCAGATTTGGTCGTCCAGTCGATAATTGGAAGTCCTCCTCACCTTTCACAAATGTTGCATTTATCACTCCTCTAGATAAGGCAGCAATAACTGTAGATGGATGGGATATTGACCTCTTAGTGCAATGCGCACTGCACAAAATCTTATAGAATGCCATCCGAAAATGTCTACTAACAAACGCGTAAATGAACGGGTTTAGGGCGCTATTGCTCCAGCCTAGCCATGTCATTATTGGAATAATTAATTGTGGGTACTTAATGCATTCTATACAGATAGCAGACAACGGGCTTGTCACAAAAAACGGGAGCCAACAGATAACAAAAATTCCCATTACAATACCTAGAGTCTTTGCGGCTTTGTGTTCTTGTTTCATATTGTTCGTCAGATTGTTCCTCACAAATCCACCACGATGTATTCGTAAATTTACAGTTTTTTCATGATCTTTCGAAGCCGTTGCCACATTCTTTGTACCAGCTAGAATCCCTCGCATTTGGCTTATAGCTGTTAAATAAACTCTTAAGTAAGTAAAAACCATGATCGCGCATGGAAGATAGAATGATATGACTGATGAAAACAACAGATACGTTGAGCTTCCTGTAAATATACATTGATTTTCAATAAAAGGTGGGTCCACTTTTCTCCACCAAACTATTGCCGGAAAAGATATAGCAGACGAACAAACCCAAACGAACGCGATCAAGATAGAGGCAACACGTTTTGTCATTTTTGAACGATAACTAATTGGGCTTGTTATCGCCCAATATCGATCAAAAGATATAATACAGAGATTCAAAATGGACGCTGTGCAACACAACACATCCATTGCGTGCCAGATATCACACCAGTTTCTTCCAAAATACCAATATCCGGATGTGTATTCCACGGAAATGGCGGACGGCAGGACCACAACGCCTATTAGAAAATCAGAAAGTGCCAACGACGCTATAATAAGATTGGTATTGATTAAACGAAGTCGATGGTCTTTGAACACTGCCAACATAACCAACAGGTTTCCTAATATTGTCAACAGATTAATGGCACACAGGGTATAGAGAATAATAGGATGCAGCAGTACTGGCTCGAACTTATCAGTCGATGTAAAACTGACTGAAGCTATGGTTGTATGAAAATATGAAATTTCGGTAACTGTTGACTCGGTAGTTCTCCTAGTCATATTAACTAAAAACGCCGACATGTCGAAAATGAGTTAAAAATCTCCTAAGCATATTTTGGAAAGTAAATTTTACAAAACTGAAAAACTGGAAGTGGCCTTACCACCAAAAGTCAATACACTCGCAACATTTACCAACTACTGTAATGTTTAAAACATTAACATCGAGCTTCTTTCTTCAAAATGAAGAAATGTATCTCATAATAACTGCAACGCTTGTGCAAATATTAGTTACATGAAAATAAATCTTTTAGAATTGACTCATTTTCCAGTATTCGAATGAACTAAGAGGGAAAATGGACAATCTATATCCTTGTAAACTTTTCTATAGAAGCACCTTCTACTACTGCGTGTCCGATTTCATAAAACTTAGCATTTTCTGAACTCAGTTGTCGTAAATATTCTCATATATTAAAACTTGTAATTTATAGTCATCTATTGCCCATCTGGTTCTATTTTTTCCTCGTAAAGATCAGCTAAGCTCCAACGTTTATGTTTTATCTACATTAATAGAAATATTCACATTTATTGATCCACTGGTTGAAACGTTCAAAATAACCAACGTTAATTTTAGCACTTCTTTGGTAGATGATATCAATAGTTCCATCAATTCCTTGTATATGAATATAGTCAATTGAAACAGAGGTGAAGAGAGGGTTGGTGAATCCAAGTGTTGTATATTCTCGGGGGAGGCATAGACGTATTCAACGAGGGTCCACTTCGTCGTTGCTTTGGTGAAACCAAAAGTCTTCCCACTGTTTCTCTTCTTCTCAACAGTATTCAAACCATAATTAACCGATCTCCATTCAGCATCGATGCTTTCTGATCCATATCGAAAGAACGGTTCATTGGTTTTTTAATCCCGTTGTTTTTCATTTTATCAAAGATATCCTAATAAGCAAAACGAACAATGTTTTCCCAAACAGGTAGAAAAAGAGTATTTAAAGAAAACTGTTACATCATAGCTTAGACATGAATAGGAATAAACAATTTTAACTAGTCAAACAATAGTAGCATCAATTAAGTAGCCGTCAATAACATGTCTTTGACGAATTGACGAATTGTATTATCACCGAATAATGATCAGCTAATCACAATCCTCACTCTCCTGGAGCTTAGTTAAGAAAAAAAAACTTTGCTTAAATGACCACCAGATGGCGCACTATTCACATAAATCTTATTTCAGTTCACAGCCATAAAAATATTCATCATTGGCGTGAGGATGATTTAGCATCGATTTAGCATTTCTTCAAATGGCTGTATAAGCCAATTTTAGACAGACTCGGCCACAGTGATGAATGTGGTACTCTCCAATTTCATGTACCAGCAGCTCTATGTCTTCCGGCCTGCTTATCTTTGAGAGAGAACCATCATAAAGGACCCTTTTCCATTTACTCCGATCTTTGACAGTGCCCTCCCAATTTGTTGTACTGATATCGAAGGCTTTTAAAGGCTTAAACGTATAAAATTCGCCGTTTTAAAACAAGCAAAAAATTCAACCAATTGTTTTAACACAAAGAGACTGGTGTCGGTATAATGAATAGCTTTAAAAGAAAACTGATTATCTCCAGACCATAAGTTATTAACCGAGAAGTCAATCATAACAATTACAAACAATGAATATGAAAAATTGAGATAGGACGCCACCTAGAGATGATATATAGGAGAAATTTTATTGGATAAATACCGTATATATTCGATTAAACGCTCCGCTTTGAATAAACTCTTGCCTCATTTGAAAATAATTTGAAATAAACGCCTCTCTCGAATAAACGCTCCGAGGCGTTTATTTTTTCCTCGAATAAACACCAACTAAATGACTGTAAAGAAGATTAACGGAAACAACATCATTCGCAACGCATTCTATTAATGTTCCATTCCAGAAGAATTATACTTTTATCTAACCTGGTGAGCCTTTATGATCATGCAATAACATATTTGATGGTAATTTTGTGTTTTGTAGTTCAACATTTACAGTGAAATAAAGGGTGTTTATTTGAGTATGCATATCCATTTTATGAAACTAATTAACGACAATTAATTAAGTTTCGAAGTGTCACACGTCATCATCAGGCAATAGTGCTAATGCTACTAACGGTTTGTATACCAGGTCAGTCAAACAAGCAAATACCAATGCAAGTCATAGCCTATAATGGTGAATACTGTGGTATGTAATGTATATAAAAATTAGAATGAAAGTAATGAGTTGTATGTTTGTTTTACATAAAAAAAAATAAGTGCCTCCCTCGGATAAACGCCTCCACCCCCCCCCCCCCCCCAAAAGCCCCTCAAAAACCCTTCTCAACAATAAACGCCCCGGGATTCGAAAAAAAAATATGGTAATTTTGAATTTTATTCGGGAAGCGCGTCTGTGAAAGGTTAGGTTCATGATCAGCTGACGAGTATTCGGCGCTTATCAACTTAACTAATAATTAGCGATTCAATCAGTGAAGTTTTTAGTGGAAGGGGTAGGCGTGCAGGGTTGGGGGAGGGGTGATTCACATTTTTTAACCTACACGTTAATTGCAGATGATATCCAACTTGACATAAATAATTAAAATCAAAATAAAAATAAATATTTCTTACAGTTTTTTTTTTAAATTTAATTTTAAAAAATCCAATTGTGACTAAAGTTACCTTATTGAATACGGTAATAAAATGTTTATATAAATATATGAAGTTTGAACACACTAAATATACAGAAGAGAATCACAGAAAATATCAATTTTACATAAAGAATTATATAACTTAGGCAGGCGATTGATAAAGCCATTATTAGTAAAGTTGACACCCCACCCT